AGGGTGGGCTGCTATTATGCACAGCCCCCTTCTCCTTGGGGTCCTGCTTCCTTGCGGCCCCACCCCAGCAGGGTCAGTACTGCAAGCCCACCCCCTTCACACCGCTGCCAAGTCTCTCTGAACCCAGCTGAGATACTTCCCCCTCCAGGCAGCCTTCCCAGACTGTTAGCCTTAGAGAGCTGCCTTCCCACCTCTCTAATTCCTCCTTGCCCCTGCCTCCAGGCTCCCGGAAGGGTGAGGATGAGCCTGTCCCCTGCCCCAGAGCTCCTGGGGGCAGCAGACTTTGTCCTGTCGTGTGTGTGTGTGTGTGTGTGTGTGTGTGTGTGTGACAGTTTTGGGTGTCAGAGTCTCTTGCATTCAAGCCCAGCTCGGCCATTTAGTTGCTGGACAGCTGGACTTTGACTTAACCCTCCCCAAGTCTGTTTTTCCCTCTGCAAATCCAACCCGTCCCCCAGGCAGTTGTGCAAAGCAATGAGCGTGGCCCACGCCGAGGCCAGCAGCAGCTGCTCCCACTCTCAGCCTGCGGGCCCTCCTGGGGTTGGGGCTGGCGATGGAGGCCAGCGCCTCACTCTGATCACCTGACCAGGCTCTACTGAGCACTGAGGACCCAGGTGGCCCCAGACCACCTTGGAGAGCTGTGCCCATTACCTACCCTCCTGGGAGTCCAGCACCTGAGGCCTTTCCTCGGAGGCTCATCTGATACAGCTGAGCCATCTCCCTCAGCGTCTCCGCCGAGTACAGGCCAATGGGGTTGTTATACTGCCTGGGCTGGCTCGAGCCCTGGGGCACTTTCGGGCTGAGCGAGTGCAGGGCTCCCTCCGAGCTGGTCTTGGCCCCCGGGCTGCCCTGAGGAGGACCAGGGTCAGAGGCCTCCAAGTGGGAGGAGAAGGCGGAGGTCTGGGAGAAGGAGGCGCTAAAGGTCTGCCTGACCTCCGTGCCCGGGCCGGCCCGCACCTCGGGGTTGGTGTCCAGAGCAGGGTCCTGGCACAGGGTAGCCGCCATGCAGGGGAGAGAGAAGAGAGCAGTGAGAGGCCACACGCATCCAGTGCTTCTGTGTGGACCTGAAACAGAGGGTTAGTGCCGGGCCGCGGCGCAGCTGCTGCTCTGGGCTCAGGGGGCCGGACAGCGCACCTGGAAGGGGGCGTTTGTCAGGAAGAGCAGGGGGCACGAAGCTCCTGGCCCAGGGCTGGCACCCCCTGGACAGAAAGCCAAGCCAAGCCCAGCCCAGCTGCCTGCGGGGCTAGAGGAGGCTGGAGCAAGGGACTGTGGGTGGGTGGGGGGCACCCACCTCCACTCCATGTCTGTTTCTCCTTCTCCTGAGTAAGGGCCCCTGGTGGGCACAGCCCGGCCTCCTGTTCTTCTGACCCCACACTGTGATGCCCCCACATGGCCAGTGAGGGGCCCCAGCTGGCAGTGGGCAGGCAGAGTGGAGGTGCAGGAGGGGAAACCGAGGAAGTAGGGGCTGACATATGGCCCCTTGGGCTCACCTCTGCAACTTCCCCTAAGCAGCCGCTGCCTATTTCCCAATCTGCCACCCTCCAAGCCCGTCAGCCTCTTCCTCTCCCCTCATCCTGTCCCGGGCCCACTCCGCCTCACTGAAGAAACAGGGCTCAGCATAAGGTCACGCAGGGAGGGTGGTGGGGTGGACTCCCAGGCCTGGGGCCCACAGGCTGAGCCGCTTAGAGGAAGCTGGGGAGGAGCCTGGGGCACAGGGCGAGGTCTGTGGCCAGGGCTCCACCCTCTCTCCTGCGTCCTGGTCACCACCAGCGTTTGGGGCTGGGCTCTATGGCTGTGCAGTTGGGAGGAGGAATGGAAATCGGAGGAAGAAAGCCTAGATCGGAGGAGAAAACCCGGGAGCCAGCAGGCCCCTCCCCACCCAGGGGCTCCTCCAGGATGCCCGCCCAAGCTGGGCCTCCAGCTCTCCTGCCACAGTCCCCTGTCCCCGGCCTCAGGAAGGGGAGGGTCAGAGCCCTGGACACTGTGCCCCCTGCTGTGAGGATGCGGCCTAAGCTGCTGGCATGTGGGCCTAGCCATGAGGCCCTGGCAGGTGGCACCCAGGCAGGCGCTCCCCTCCCCGGGCCGGCCCCCTTCCCAGGGTCAGCGACGGCGGGCAGTGGTGGGGCAGGACTGACCCCTTGCCATGGGACTGCACCCCAGGAGCCGTGTCTGGGAGTGGAGTCGGCCACCAAGTCAGCACCTACCTTCTGGTGGGGGATCACTGGCAGAGGAGACTGGATCAGGGGCGCTGCCGTGGAGATGGGAATGGGTCGCTTCGACCTGGAGAAACCAGAAATGAGGCCAGGTGAAGACAGTCATGCCTGGGCCGGGAGCTCCGCGGAGAGCCATGGAGGCCGGGCAGAGAGCCCGAGACCCGCTGCCCACCGTGCAGGCGGGTGGCTCCAGGAAATCGCTCATCTAACCAGGGTGGAAAAGCACGGCCTTGGGCACTGGGCAGCCACGGGCCTCTGCTGGGGCCTTGGGGGGCTGCCTGGAGGAGAGAAAGCAGGGGAGGCCTGGCTTCCAGGCCTGATGGCCCACACCTGGCAGCACCAGACCCACCCTCCCAGCCTTGTCTGTCTAGTGAAGCACAGACGTGGAGGAGCTTGACGATGACTTGGGCCTGGTCCTCCTCTGGCCCAGCTGCCCTGCGAGGCCTTGGGCACAGGGCTGGGCCCACCCCCAGCCTCCCCGTCTGGAGGGCTCCACCTACTTCTGCAGGGTGAGGCTCAGGTTGTAGCTGGCGGACTTGATCTTGTTCTGGGCCTCCAGGTGGGTCATGGTGTCTGTGTTCACGCCGTCGATGGCTACCACGAGGTCCCCCTGGCTGAGCTGGGACTGTGCCGCCTTGCTGCCTGGTGTGATCTGGGAGGGCGCAGGTGGGGGATGAGCATCAGGAGGGTGGGCCTGAGGTTGGGTCAGGCTTTGGGGAAGCGTCACCTGGAGTCACGGGTAGAGGCCTGCCATTTTGTCTTACACTGTGGCTGGCACCGCGGATCCCCAGCCGGTCCCTCCTGCTGGCACACAGCCGCCGCGTCTCCTAGTGCCTGTGTCTGTGTGTGGCTGGTGGATGTGGGGGGAGGTGGTGCACGCCCCCCCAGCCTGTCCCCAGCAGTCGGTCTCGTACCCTGCACCCTGCACTCTCTCTTCTCGCCGGCTGACTGCATGCAGAGGACCCAGAGGACAGCTGCGCTACTAGCAGAAGAGACCTGAGCCCTGGGGCCGCACTTGGAGGAGAATGACCACAGCGCGCTGCACTGGATGCTGCATGAGTGAGAAATGAACTTTCCCTGTGCCGAGCCGCTGGGCTACACGGGCTCTTGCTACACCAGTTTGCTCACTGTACCACCTGCACCTGAGAACCCACGAAGTACCTCCCAGGCTCCCGAGGGAGGCGATAGGCAGGAGCGGAGGCTCAGCACCACCACAGAGATGCTGCCAGGTCACAGGTAGGATGAATGCCCCTCACAGAGCATCCTCGTGTGAGTGCCTAGAGCTGCCATGCAAGGGAGCCCAGCAGGCTGGGCGCTGTCAACCCTGCCGGGTGAGCAGGCTGGCACACGGGGCAGGGTTTGGTGCTCTGAGGCTGGCTTCATCCTGCCCGAAGGGGAGGTGTGCTTGTGGGGGCCAGTTCCCTAACCCTGCACCCTAATGACAACACAGAATGTTAGAGTCTGCCCCACCCCCACCCTCGCATCACAGAATGCCAGGCCTGCGCCACCTGGAGCACCCCACACAATGCCAGGAAGGCCACACCCAGGAACATTACGTGGGACTCTGGCTCCGACCCCACTGACATCATGGGCAGTGCCCCGCTCTACACACCTGGCTCCCGCCACAGCGCCTGGGGCTGTGGAGACCCCGCCAGCAGGGACATCACGGGAGACTCTGGAGGCCTCGTGACGTCACCTGAAATAGTTTGGTGGCCACTGCGGGGACATTCCGGGAATGTGATGAAGCCCCACCTCTAAAGACGCCTGATGACACGCCTGAGGCTGCCCCACCGGAGACACCAGGAGGCGCTGTGCGTCGCTGGAGTGACCGAGACGTGTGGAAGGCCAGGCAGGCCCCACCCCGAGTGGCGCTGGGAAGAGGAGCCTGGCTTTGCACCCCCAACTGCCCACCAGCCAGCCTTCCTGGTTCTCTGGGCACATGGCCCCACCGTCCTGGCTGGGCCCCAGGGACGAGGCCGGCTCCCGATGCTGGCCAAGGTCTCGGGACCATCTTAGAAGGAGCCAGAGAGGACCCGGGGACATTCGCCTGTCCTTGGGTGTCAAGCCTGACAGGGCTTTTGCCCCGGCAGGACTCTCCCCTAAGCCAGA